AAATGAGAACACATGCATATTAATCAGTGAGCCACAAAACAGTTTTTCCCGTTATCATAGTTGCACAGTCTTGAAATAGCTCCTTCATTGATGCACCCCACAGTCCTGAATATCTTATCAAAAATCACTCCTCCATAGTTAACAGAATCTTGATATGGTCAAGGATAATCTTTTGATAATTCAAATGCAAAATCGTATAAAATGTCTTTCAGCATTTTGAATTATAAGAGAAATAACTTACTATAATACTTTCTCCTCTGAAACTATACTATTGCATTACCCTGGAACATAGTTTTAATTTTAATACACAACTTTTGCTCTGCTTTTATAATGCCAATTTAAATAACCTGAATTTCTTTCCTATTTTTGTAGCTTATCACTAGCCACTAAAATTTTTCTCAAAATTAGCAAGAAGTTCATATTTTATATCTTATTTCATAAGGATTTCCACTATAGCACACTTCATTTCAATAGCAGAATAGCATGTATCCAGGAATATCTCATTTTTTTGAAATCAGCAGTGCAGAAGTTAATTCATAGATGCACTTATGAGTTTTATTTATATTTGACCTGTGGTAAAAAAAAATTCTCTTTTAGCCCTGGCTGGCATAGCTCAGTGGATTGAGCGCGGGCTGGGAACCAAAGTGTCCCAGGTTCGATTCCCAGCCAGGGTACATTCCTGGGTTGCAGGCCACAGCCCCTAGCAACCGCACATTAATGCCTGTCTCTCTCTCTCCCTCTCCCTCTCTCTCTCTCTCTCTCTCTCTCTCTCTCTCTCTCTCTCCCCCCCCTCCCTTCCCTCCCTAAAAATAAATAAAATCTTATAAGAAGAAAGAAAAGAAAAAGAAATTGCAAACTGAGACCCATTTACATTTAAAAAAAATTCTTTCAATTACTTATTTTTCTCAAGTGTCAAGAAATCTTATAGTACAAAAATACATTAATGTAGCAAGAAAGTAGTTTTTGTTTAAGTAAATTTGGAATTAAAAATAGAGCAGTATGTTAAAAATCAGATTTAATAATTGGAACCACCAGATGGAATAGTAAAAAAAGATGGTTTGGGTGGGTGGGTGGGGGGAGGGGAGAAGATATTGAGAGAGAGAGGTCATCACCATTTTTTTTTTTTTGCTTGCATTCTGGCACAATAATATTCAAAAGATCTGGACAACCCGTACGTCGATCTGTTTTCCCTTATTTTAAAGACCTAAATCATACTATTCTTTTGAAGTCTTGGGTACACCAGGAAAAGTATTTAAAAGCCAGGGAATAGGGTGAGAACTAAAAGCAATCTTCAAACAAACACGACCTTTTCAGTTTCTTGTACAGCACTCCTCAACCCAGCCAGAAAACCCAGACAAGTTTATTTACACACACACCCGCACACGCACGCACACACACACTCCACAGGCGGCGAGAGTGGCGGAAACGCCCTCTTTCCATCCCTTCCAAACAATTATCTCTGACAGCAAAAGAAAATAATCAACAGCCCTGTGTGCTGGCGGCTGAGCCCGGGAGCCGGCGCGAGGAGGGAGGGCGAGCAGCGGGCGAGCCGGGAAACGTGGCTCCGCGGCCGCGGAGAGGATTTGTGAAGGGAGCGCGGGCCGCGTGCGCCTCTTGTTCCCCGTGTAATTTGCAGCCAATCATCAGTAGGTGTCCGCGTCTCTGCGTCCTCCTCACCTCCGCGCCGATCGCCCCCGCCCCTGCCCCCGCCTCCTCCCTCGCGCTCCCCTCCCCCAGCAACCACACGCACACGCACACACATACAAACAGAGAGAGAAGGGGGGGCAGGGTGAGAGAGAGAGGAGAGAGAGAGAGAAAGGAGAGACTCCCTGGCTCCCTCCCTCCCTCGCACACAGCGACTGGAGACGGACGGAGAGCAACGCGCTGGGAGAGGAGAGACCACCGAGAACAGCCCCGCGCTCTCACACATACACTCACACTCGGCTCTTTCCTCTCCCCCCACCTCCTCCTCCTTCCACCCCCACCACTAACACCATCTCCTCCTCCTCTCTGCAACAAGAAAAAAAAAGCCATTTACAGGTATTTTTTTTTGATCCGCATATTTATTTATCTCCCCTCCCCAACAGTTTGTTTACAAGTATTAAAGTTGTAATTGGGAGCTGCCAAGACACATCTGGGTTTGTGTTTCTTTGTGTTAGGGGTGATGTGCAACTAATTAAAGGCAGACTGGCAGCGTCTGCAAATTCTAAGGCTCCCCAAATAAAAAGAGACTGGTAAGTGATTGTTCTTTCTCTTTCTCTGGCTTTTTGCTCTTAAATGTTTGCTGTCCATTGGGATTGTAAAAGTAGATTATTAATGCTGGACTCCAGCAATAAAAGGCGTCGCTGTATTAATTTATTAATTAATCTGCACCCGCCCCTCCTCCTGAATGTTAAATATGACCTTTGATCTCTATGTCTCTGGTAGACCAGACATACAGTATTAGACATGTACAGTCACATTGTTTAAAGGCAAAACAGGATCATGAAGTGTGAATGTCTAATTTCTCTTTGGATATGACTATAGTTATTTGTGTGTTTTATTTTGCTTTTTAAAGAAAATCCAAACAATAGCTGTGGGTTAGGTACCTTTTTCATGCTCCAGAGATGCATTGATTAAACAATAATGACCTGGATCCTGGGCACAGTCATTTTCTACAGTTTCTGGTGGCATTAAACCTTGAGGGAGGAAGGGGGAGGTGATAGCAATTAAAAAAAGAAAGAAAGAAAGAAAGAAAAAATAATCAAGGGAAGCTTCTGTTTGGAAACACCATCCTAATACTCTGAAAAAAAGGATATTAAATTATTTCTTTATTTGGAACAAGGTCAAAAGATAAAATGTTGGAATTTTTCCCTCCACTCAATGTGATGATATCTAATGCATGGCTGGCTTAACTAGTTTTTACTAAGTAGCAGTTATTATGGTCTTGCAGTTATAATGTGATTCGGAGAAACTGACGCTGTATGCATATTCTTGCTGTGTCTTCCCCCCACCTTCTTCCAAGCATCAGGAATATTTAGCCAGGAGCATTTTGGGGGCACCCTTTGTATTGCCATCAGAGCTCTGAAGGGAGCAGTTTTTCCTAATGTGAAACCACAGAGGTGGTTCCTGAGTGATTAGGGACTTGCTGTGATTGAAAGACGCCTGCTAGCTTCTAATCCAGCCTGGGGTGAGGTTCCTTATCTTGATTTACTTTGCTTAATAGGGATTTGTTTACATAAACCCCTCTTTTTAGGCACCTCATCAGCAGGTCTTGAAGTTTTTGCACTTGGAGTTTGAGCATAAATGGTTCATTAATCTAATTATAAGCATAATTACTATAATTGATATCCATTTTGAACTGAATATTTGAGACTGAGACTACTGGGCCCCATTTAGAATTCCCTGAACTGCACATTCTAGACCAATATGTGGGCTCCAGAAGATGTCACAAAAAGATATTCTGGTCTAAAAAAAAAATCTGTAAACAAAGAAACTGTGGGGGTTTTTTTATAGTTTAATATACACTTTATGCCTTTGCTTTTCTTCTTAAAAGGCTGTGGTCTACCTCTCCTTCTGTAATAAACAACTAAAATACCTCTTCCTAAAGCATAATAATGGTCTGTAAGCAAAGAGATGAATGCAAATATCCAGTTAACACTAAACTTTCCTTTTAAAAGGAGCAAAGGAAAAACATCATTTTAATGGTTACTTCTTCAGGTAAACAACACCTTAAGAGATACCCCTTCCCCCATTCCATTTACTTAATGTAAAAACCAGTCACTGTGAGATCCTTAAAAAAAAAGTCCCATGTTTTCTTCTTGTCTTCAGAAGAGACAGGAATCTCCATTAGGAATTATTGGGAATATTCTTACAGAGGTTGCAGGCTCTTGGTTCAAAATCTGAAATTATTTGTGTTATTTAATTTTTTCTCTAGTCCATCTTTCTTTTCTTTTCTCTTTTTTTAATTCTTACTTTAAGCAAGTAGAACACCACCCTCTTACCCCCACCAAGCCCCACCACCAAATGGCTTGTACAATTGAGACCTGTCCTTGGTCCTTTGAATTAAGACCCTAACAGAGCCAGCTGTGCTGGGATTCAAACTAATGACCGCAGACACAGAAGGACACTGTGGCAGCTGGTAGTTCTTTTCTCTCTCTCTCTCTCTCTCTCTCTCTCTCTCTCTCTCTCTCTCTCTCTCTCTCTCTCTGCCTCTTTAGTTCAGATTGTATGTGGGCAGTCTCTTAGCTCTCAGTTGTATTGTGTTTGCTTACAGTTTATACTCGGCTGTATTGTAGACTTTCTCTGTACTTCATTTGCTAATTTCCTGTTCATTTTCTTCATAGAGCCATTGCTGTTTTCTACTTTACAGCATTTGCATGCCCAGGCAGCACTTGTTCACACATTTCATAATGTTTAAATGCCCTCTGCTTATAGGTAGTATCGCCCTCCCACCCCTGATTTGCATGTCTTTAGCACTCCAATTGCCCTTTTCCCTCGGCATTTGTCACCCCCGTCTTTCCTTGGGTATCCTGGCTATTAATACATTTTCTCAGGAGGGTTATAAGAATAGGGGGGAGGAGCTGTGGTGTGCTGGAGAAGGGAGGGAGCGGGGTTGGGAAGGTGGGAGGGGGGGTCACGTCTTGATTGTTATGCAAACGACCTGACGGAGAATGTGGGAGCTTTCAGTGTCTGGCGTGGTCGTGAGAGAGGCTGTTTATTTATTTTTAATCTTTTCCCTCGTGCAGCTCGTTGGAATGACTTTCTTTATTTTAGTTGTAACAGTTGGAGGATAATGCAAAGGAAGACGCTGCCTGGGAATTCACCGTCTGTGGAAATGCGCCCCAGAGAGGAATAAAGCAGTCCTCCTCACCTTGCTCTCCCCACCCGGACCCACTTTCCCCTCCCGCCTCGGCCCCCACTCCAACACCACCATCACCCCCTTCCCTCCCCCCCATCTTTCCCCCTTTCCCACCCAGGTGTCGGACCAGGCGGTCCCCACTTCCACCCTGCACCCCTTCTTTCCCCCCTGCACCATGAACACCAATGTCTGCGTGGAGCCCGGGCCGAGCCCGGAGGCCCCGGGCTTGCCCAAGGAAAGCCACCTGCCCGAGGGGGCCCTGAACAGCCTTGTGGATTACAACTCGGAGATGGAGCGCTACCGCTCGTTTGCCACCTCCTTCTACAAGACCAACGGGGGCGCCTTCCCGCAGGCAGCCAAGATCGCGCGCATCACCACCCCCATCTTCCCCAGCAGCGCCGCCGCTGCTGCGGCCGCCGCGCGCATCGGCATGTCCCCCTGGAACTGCGACAACGCGGCCACCGCCGCCGCCACCGCCATGCTCTGGGGCAGCGGCGGAGGCGGGGGCGGCGGCGGAGGTGGCGGCGGGGGCGGCGGCGGGGGAGGCGGGGGCAGCAGGAAATCCTCCTCTGCCGCCGCCTCCTCCTCCACCTCCTCCTCGGCTATCCTCCCCGCCGGCGGTGGCGGTGGCGGCGGCGGCGGTGGCGGCGGCGGAGGCGGCGGCGGCGGCGGTGGCGGCGGCGGCGGCGGCAGGACCAGCATGCACCACCGAAACGACTCCCAGAGGCTGGGGAAAGCTGGCTGCCCGCCAGAGCCGTCGTTGCAAATGGCAAATACTAATTTCCTCTCCACCTTATCCCCTGAACACTGCAGACCTTTGGCAGGGGAATGCATGAACAAGCTCAAATGCGGCGCTGCTGAAGCAGAGATAATGAATCTCCCCGAGCGCGTGGGGACTTTTTCCGCTATCCCGGCTTTAGGGGGCATCTCATTACCTCCAGGGGTCATCGTCATGACAGCCCTTCACTCCCCCGCAGCAGCCTCAGCAGCCGTCACAGACAGTGCGTTTCAAATTGCCAATCTGGCAGACTGCCCGCAGAATCATTCCTCCTCCTCCTCGTCCTCCTCAGGGGGAGCTGGCGGAGCCAACCCGGCCAAGAAGAAGAGGAAAAGGTGTGGGGTCTGTGTGCCCTGCAAAAGGCTCATCAACTGTGGCGTCTGCAGCAGTTGCAGGAACCGCAAAACGGGACACCAGATCTGCAAATTTAGAAAATGTGAAGAGCTAAAGAAAAAACCTGGCACTTCGCTAGAGGTCAGAGGAGATGATTTCTTGTTTCCCAGTCTACCCCCCTCCCTCCTTACTCCCCTCCCCTCTCCCCTTCAGGGCTTCTTGTCTGGCTTCAAGATGCAGTACCCCTTTCCTGAAGCTTCATTCAGGTTGTAAGATGCCGTTGTAGGTGGTGTGCGGAGGTCATGGCCTCTCCTCCACCCTCCCCAGCTGCACTTCGTGTGGAACCGCCCTCCAAATGGGGAGGGCGCACCTCCTTTTTATCTGTTGGGGAAAACTAATGTAATTGGTTTGAAAAATCAGAAGTTTCACATTCAATATGGTCAAAAATTTCCCTTGGTGGTTTAAAATGCTCCCTTCCCCTTATGATTTTTAAAAATATCTCTGCCCAAAAGATTGGACACCTCACTTTTTACATACTTTTACTAGCCAAGGGAGGCTTATTAGTGGCTCAGCTGTTACAGTGAGGACACAGTTTGTGGCACACAAGTCTATGTGCCCATTCAAAAACACACACAGACACACAGTAATCACTGAGGCTGAAATGTCTGGATTCTGAAGGGGATTTTCTGTCGTCTTCTAGAATAGTTTTTCTCTTCATCATGACAACAATGTTTCTGTTTCCCATTTTATTTTCTGCATGCCTGGTATTTTTTTTAAGAAAGCAGAAATAGTATAGAAAGCTGAACACTACCTGCAATTTTTAAGGATATGTAGAGTTATAATAAAGGGATGCAATTAGTTCACGTAATGATGGTGATTTTATTTAAGAATTGTTTTACATAGTTTCAAAAACGAATGACTCCTAAAACTCAGTTGCCAAAAAAATAGTGCTTTGGGTTCTGCATTGGACAAACTAACCATTTTGTGGTCACGAATTGTTGTATACACTAAACACAGGTTGGGTTGATACCCTATATGGTCAGTAATAGTTTCCTATGCCTATAAGTCCTTAAAAGAGACAGTGTACCAATTATCACTAAAGTAATTGTTCAATTAGGCTTTTAATTCTGTTAAATACAGTAATGTGTTTGCTGGAAATTTCATATGGTAATCTGATCAAAACAAGGAAGAAAGTGGAAAAATCACAGGTAAATGGTTTGGGTGGTATTTTTAGCAAAGAAATATGGGCAAATCATCATAATTAGCTTCTAGATAAATTTCACAGAGTAGATGGCTAGACAGGCGCTCATGTGTACAGGAGAACATAGGTGGTGGCGGTAGCCTGTGGGAGTATTCTTTGGGCTGAATTGTAGGCAGATAGTGGCTCTCACAAATTGTCATTAGAGGGGCACTTGCACATTCTTTTGAAAAATTGTGAGCACCGCTTAAAGTCGTTTTCTCCATGAAGGACTGGCCTTTAAAAGAATAAAAGAGAAGAGTTGGAGATCTTTCTTGCAGGTCTGAAAACAAATAAAATACAGATTTTTTAAAAAGCTTTATTAATATAAATTAAAGCAAAAAGTGCTTTGAGATTCCAAAAAACAAAATCAGTATATATTGGTAACATTATTGTTTGTGTTTTCATCAAAATGTTGCATTTATTCCTTTTTATAAGAAAACTCATCTCTTTGTTGAAAATTTGAGTTTAGAGTGATTTATTACATTTCCTTTGGCAACTCTGCTTAAGCAGAGATAATAGCAATTATGAAAATGTAGGTCCATGTATTTTCTGAGGTGGCAAAAATTAGTATTTATGTTTTGAATACTGTCTTTCTGGATTAATTTATTGTAACTTCTCTGGGTCTCTAAGGCCCATGGGAAATGAAAATTCAGTTCATCCTGAAATTTTCTGTCAATACCCAGTTGATAAGTATTGCATGGCTTTTATTTTTGCCTCTTGAACTACATGTTGTTGTTGCCAGTAATCCTCATCTTTAGCTAGATCCATGGCACTGGACCCAATTTAGGGTATGTAGTCAATAGGGCCACTCAGTAACTCTGATTTACTTAGTAAATTACCACTGGAGGAACTTACTGTGAGTGGCAATAAACTTTTTAGTACAGGTTTCTATGCTGATTTATTAGTCTAAACAAATTTAATAAATTTCTTTTTTCTTCCTTTTGATAGCTTTCCCACAAACTTGCGATGTTTGTATTCCTTAGGCATTTTAATCACATATGATTACATAGTACTGCTTTTTCATATTTTTAAAAATCCATTTGCTCAAAAGTTATATTGCTCTTCAAAAGGTGGGGTGTGAATGAGAGGGCAAAAAACTTCCCTCTTTGTAGAACTCTCTGAAGATGGTTTCCTAAGTACATGCTCTTCCCACCAGATATTGGGCCATAGGTCAAGGCTAAGATTATGAGTGGATTGCTGTTTGCCAGAAAGAAAGCAAAAGGAGTTATGAGGTTTTGGTTTGCTTGTTTAATTGATGAAGATTCTACCTAGATCATTCATAAAAGGCAGTGGTGGCATGATTGCCCTAAGTACATGTATAACCACACATACATGCATCTTAGAGTTGCAAGAAACCAGGTGGCCATGTGTCAGAGTGTCAAGGTTGACCTGACTGAGCCAAAGCTGGAACAGTGGCTGTGGATTGGTGGAAAGTCCTCCTGCTGACCTGCTTCCATCTCTAATTTGGTTCCTGCAATTTCTCATCATCTGTGGAGATGTTTTAGAGGCTGGCTGGAGGCCCAGGCTGAGCATAGTGATTTGGGAATATACCATGGCTATTACCTGTGGATTTCAGGCAGTAGCTAGTATTTGTTGGCTTTGAATTATAGATACCAATTAATATCTGGATTATAATCATTACATATATTCTTATTTATCCCTTCCAACCTCCTGTGTACTTCTTGTATTGGACTTATTCTCGTTCCAAAGATTGCAGGTAGAATCAGATTTTCAGGGTGAGAAAATGAAATTAAGATACACTCATGTGGTTGTGTTGGGATTCTTGCTCATGTCTTTTAAAGTCTACAATCCAGCATTCCTTTTAAAACTGCTGGACTTATTTACACATTTTCTACTTAGTCTCCTGTTAAGAGCATCTTAATGCCTCAGAAATATGTCTATAAAATCACCCCTTAATACATTCCATATGATAACAATGCACATAAAACTAACTTGGTTTTTGTATGATATTGTGCACTGTATGTTTGCATATAACACTGTTCATTTAGTTAGTTACCATATTTAAAAATAACCCATTATTAATTATTCAAAGCAGTTACTACAAATGCTGTATGCCACTAATGTGACAAAACTTACTTTGAAAACTTGTATCCTAACTGATCCATATTCCCAGAGAGCTTAAGAAACATGTGATTTTATATTATGATAAGTTATATAATAGCAGTTTGTCTCATACAAAGGTAGTCTTCACTTTTCATATTCACAGCAGTTGTATTTCTGATATTAAGATCTAACTTTTTAAAATATCCCAACCTGCTATGTATGGCTCAAGGGATAAAGCTGTCCCATGGGCAACCCCAGCCTCTTAGGTCCTGAACATTGTTCAGGTGACATGATTGATCTCTGTGGGACAGCATTAGAGACCACACAGATCTGGTTTCTCTCCCATTAGCTGATTTATGGAATTACATTAGTAAGCAGAGCCTCAGGAGATTTCCCTGCCCCCACTCTTGGCTCTCTGCTGTGAGTTCCACGCTGCCTATATGCAGGCCTTCCATGTGCTGGTGCAGGGACTTGAAAGGGCCATGTTATAATGAACAAACTGAGAAACTGTAAGGTCAGGGAAAAGGACAATTCCATTCTCTTTATTTTCTCTCTTTAAAATTTATATCCTGAATGTACAGGCCAACAATAAATTTTCACAAGTTGGGTTGAACTTCTAAGGGGTTTGGTGGAAAACATCTAGATATTGACCCAAACTTGATAACTAAGAGTGTTTTAGGGGAAGAAGGACACATTTGATATAGATGCTGCTAAGTTCTAAGAGCCCCAAACACATAAATGGCAGTCAAAAAATTCTGAGCAAAGTATTCTGTGCAGTCGTGCGGGAAGATGACACCTGCTTCCTGAAGAAATTTATCTGTAGATAACAGTAAAATAGGTGTGTCACTCAGAATCCATGTAGTTAAATAATAAAACCAGTCAATAATTGAACATGTCATAAGTTTTTGAAGTTTGGTGACTTAAAAAATTTTATAAATTTTATAAATCTTATAAATTGAAACACCTACTAATTTATCATTTTACATCATAATTTTAAAAATAAGGTTTCAATTTTCAGTTTCAAGAGTCAAAAACATGCCAGTATACAAATTAAAATGTGTGCTTTAATCTAAAAACACAAATGTATAACAAAGGGAAAGCTGAAAGCTTTAAATATATTCAAACAATAGTATATTAACATGAGAATGTAATAAAGAAATGATGTAGGAAAAAAGATACTGAATTTCATAAAAAAAAAAGCACAGAAAATTTCATCTTCAACTAAAGTCACAAAATAGATTTATTTGTAGCCAAGATAACAGGCTATAATACAAGTTCAATAAAATTCTCTTCCTGTTACCAGATTTAATATAAGATTGTTGTTTTTAAAAGAATACATGTTTTATAATTCTTTTTTAAAAGATTTTATTTATTTATTTTTAAAGAGGGAAGGGAGAGGTAGAGAGAGAGAGAGAGAGAAACATCAATGTGCGGTTGCTGGGGGTCATGGCCTGCAACCAGGCATGTACCCTGACTGGGAATCAAACCTGTGACACTTTGGTTCACAGCCCACACTCAATCCACTGAGCTACGCCAGCCAGGGCTCACATTTTTTATAATTCTTATTTGAAAATAATACCTTCCGCTGTCCAAATGTCGTGTCAATTATCAACAGTCTTTTGACTGGTAGTTAGGAATAGTAAAATAAATTATCCTATATGATTGGTGGTTTGACATTCAGCCATGATCAAACAAAATACAATCAGAAAGTCTATCAGAATAAATAACACTAACAAACTGTAGACTTTAAAAATATTTTGATATTTTAAATAAAAATGGTATCTCATGATGAGGGAAATAAAAGTTACTTGATTTTTAAACTGTAATGAATTGATTA